GGAGGGGAGGGGAGGGGCTTGCAAGCTTTGACTTAAGAAGGATTGTGTAGGTGACATGGCAGGTGCTGATTGTCTTTGGCTTGGAGCCCTCTGGAGAGGAGGGATAGGAGCAGGGGATTCTGTGATGTTCTCAGGAGAAGGAAACTTAATTTCAGTGGGGAGTCTCCCCCACACCCACCAATGTCAGTATTTATGAAGCTACTTCAGGAGGCTTAAGGAAGGCAAGGAGCATTAACTCCCATCCTGGAAAGACTTGCTGCAGAGTTGGGACTACAGGCTCTATTCAGACTTAGGGGCTGGATGTGACGGGCATTTGCAGCCTCTTGAGGTTAAATACAGAAAAACTAGAGACCCCAGGTGGCGGGAGCAAGGAGAATTTCACTTGCAGCCCAACAATTTGCTGTCACTTGGGGCATGTTTTGGGAAATAGGGATTTTAGGAACAATGGGCACTCACACGCTAGGCCCAACGGGCTGCCATCTTCAGGGGCAGGTGCAGAGAGCACACTCTGACTGCAGGTTCTGTTCAGAGAGGAGGAGGTTCCAGTGGAGGCAGATCTTCAGATAACCAGGCTGGAGACGGGAAGGGGAGTTCAGGGAGAAGGAGGCAAGAGCTCATGTCCCTGGTTCCTGATACTTTCCTTCCACATGGAGCTGAGCAATGGGGCCTTGAGTCTTTTGTGAATGAAGGTAAGTGTGTTCAAAGATTCTGAATGGGAATTTGTTGATTTTTAAAACTCTTTTTAATCCTAAATTATGAATCTAAAAACTCTTCTGTTGGAATCAAATACATCTATACATTACTCGGTCATTGTCCTGTGTTGTAGGACAGGGAAGGGAGCTGCTTTCTGGTCTCCAATGCAGAGGAAGACCACTAAGGGCAAGTGGCACCCCCAAAGAGCAAGAGAGTAGACCACAGGGAAAATTCTGGAAACAATAGCTTTCTGGAGCCTGGAAGGAGATTTTTGCCCAACTCCATCAGAAAGAAAAGAGAGAATCTGGGCTAAGTGAGTGACCCTGTGTCACGGGGCTTATTTCTTTTACTCACCTATGGTTCAAGTAGAGAATTAATAAAATAAATTTGCAAGAACCTATAACTGGCTTGCTCACGGGAGAACGTAATGAGGGAGAAAATTGAGTTCTCATGGCTGAACAGAAAAAGCGACGTAGAGAACAAGCTGCCTTTGTTTGGAAAATGAGTCTCTGTGGGGCATAGACATAGCTTGCTACCAGGATGTCCGAGATGGCAGGATGCAGAGGAAGAACAGCTCTAGAAGGCCTTCCACTGTGTCATATGACTCCCAGCCAGTTACTAAATTTGAAAAATGCTTGGTAGAGGGTGTGTGTGTGTGTGTGTGTGTGTGTGTGTGTGTGTGTGAAGTGATCAACAGGAATAAACTCTGTAAAGGATTGCACAAGATAAAATAGAAAGTATATATATATATATTATATATAATATATATATATATATATGAGTGTAATTGAGAAAAATCACAGAAAAACAGTTTTATGAATTATTGTATGTGAGAGTAGCATTTTAAGGCTTTGCCATACTATATATAATATCAAGGGATTGAAACAATCCTACCCAGATTTAACAGAGAAAAACTCTTATTACATCTAGTTTAAGGGTAAGTACAAGTGAATGTTCTATTTTAGAAAAAATTTCTAGGGAAGAAAATGTAAAAGAATAACCACTTAAAATTTATAGGGGAAAAAATCTGTTGATTCATTTATTTATTCAACAAGTATTTATTGAGCTTCTACTATGTGCTAGCACTATTCTAAGGATATACCTGAGGATGCATACATGGAACTGAAATCAGTTTGCAGGTTATATAGATATTTATTATTCTTTAGTGGATATGAAACTCAGAGACTAAATGTCTTTGTTTACCCTATTCTGTACTTCAGGAATATCGAATAAAGGAGATTTAAGATTGTTCCACATTTGATATTAAAATCTGACATCAATTCTTTGATGTCAACAGAATGTCATACAGTTCAGTTCCATTCTGATACTACCTAACATAAGGTAGACAATACAAGCTTAAAGCACAGACTTTTGAGAGACTGTCCCTAGGCAGAGTCAGGTACAAGTGGAATCCCTGGGAGCCTTAATCTGTGTGGGCTACAGTAACGAAATACCACATACACTGACTGATTGGCTTTAACAACAGGAATTTATTTTCTCACGGTTCTGGAGGTAGGAAAATTCAAGATCAATTTTCTAGCCTGTTTAGTTGATGCGGGCAGCCTCTTTATAACTTCAGATGGCTACCTTCTTGCTGTGTGCTTAGAAGTCAGGAGAATGTGGGTGGAGACAGAGAGGGAGCAAGTTCTCTGATATCTCTTCTTATAAGAGCCCAAATTTCACCATGTGGGCCCAATACTTATAACCGCATCTGCATCGAATTACCTCCAAAGGTCTCACCTCAAAAAACCGTCACATTGGTGGTGAGCACATTGACAGATGAATTTGGGGTGACGTGATTTAGTCCACAGTACCAAGTTACCTATACTTCTGTCTGACTTGGCTAAATTATCTGGTGATTCTCGTGAGACTCCCCTCTTCACTTTCAATATCGGTTAGAAACATTCATAAAACTCACTGAAAGAGCCATATTTAGGATTATAGATTTATAAAATAAGACAAATCAAGAACAGACAAATGGAAGAAACAGAGGGTGGGGTCTGGGGTGGGGGGAGACAGAGCTCCCATGCCCTCTCCTCAGGGGATCCAGTCATGACAATCTCCTTGCACATCAGTTGTTCACTATTCCGAGACTCCACTGAGCCTCCATGTCCATAGATTTGATCTAGGGTTTTACTATGTGGCCATGGTTGATTAAATCATCACTCATTGGTGATGGGACTCAATCTCCACCCTTTTTCCCTTGTCTGGACATTGGGAGTTGGAGCTGAAAATTTCGTCTCTGTAACAACATGATTATTTTTTGTGGGACCACCTCCAACCTGAAGGTATCTAGGGGTTCATCGTGAGTGCTGTGGTGTGTCTATGTGGCCTTCACTTGGTCTTCCTACAGTTGTCTACTATTCTTTAGATTTTTTCTGCCCTCTCAGCCCACTTATAGCTTTAAGAAAAGTTAGGCATTTATAGGTTATCACCTGTGGTTAATCTTTTAGATTTTAATCTTGTAGTTTACAGAACAATTTATTCACATTCTTTTTTTTTTTCAAAATTTGATTCTAACTTTGATCCTGTAAGATGGACAGTGTTGCCTTATCAGTACAGAGTTGTCCTCACTAATCAATCTAATGGAAGTTTGTGCCCTTTCTGGTGTATTATAATATATTTCTCATACATCCAAAATGGGTTGTGTATGTTGCTGTCCTTACTTTCCAGGTTTCTGATGGCCCAAGTTTCATTAGTAAAAGATTAAAGGAACTACTTAATAGAAACCCCAAGAAGGGATTTATAAGATGTTTCTATGCTCTGCAAATAAGGTATCTTACTTTTCTTCATTCCCAATACTAATAACTATCTATTTTAATTTGAGTAAACCTTTACTCTATCAAAGTACTTAAAGTTCCTTAAATTTTAAGGCAGATTAAAAAAAAAAAGTCCAGGACCTAGTAAACTTGCAAATCTTAGGAACCATCTCCAGATTTTCAGATTCACTGGAAAGAGAGGAAACTACATGAGTATTAAGAAATGTTTATGGGAGGGAGTGATATTTGAGATGAGGCCTGAAAAATAACTCTACCTGCTCACTATGTGAAGGGAGTGGCATAAGAAA